CCATGATGCTGTAATGCTCCAGGACAAGACCACACCTGCAAGAGACACCCTGGGAGGAACCAAATCTTCATCTGTGTAGTTCCTGGGAGGAACTAAATCTTCATCTGCATAGTTCCTCATTGTTCTTAGATTTCCGCTGCCCCCATCCAGTCTTTTGTTACACCTTGTTCATCCCAATGTGATACTGAAATCTACATATTCATTTGTTACATTTGTTTCTTTGGATGTACTAAATAAAAGGTGTTGCAAGCTAGGGCTTCTCTTCTTTGCTGCCCAGAGCAGCACTGATCAGACCCAAAGCTCAGCTTCTTCTTAGTCTCATTTTTCTGCCTTTCCTGTAATTCGCCATGTGCTGCCGTGGCTCGCAGGACACTAGGACTTACTGCAGAGGTTCTGGTAAAGTCCCCTTCTCCTGTTCCCTACATTTGGTGCCCAACGTGGATGTGAATTGGATCCACAAGTGAACTCGTCTGTGAGACAAACTCGGAGTAAAAGAGACAACACACGGATCTCCCAGGACGATTTCCGGACTCGGACGAGGGACACTGGTGGTAAGAGTGTCCAGCTGGGGGTAATTTTCTATCTTTGCTGAGTTACAACTATGGGTCAGTCTTTGTCAACAGAACAGCGTAACTTTGCCAAATTACTTAAGTCACTGTTAAAGCAAGCTATGTACCCAGTACCTAAGGGTGCTGTGATAGATTTGTTAAAAGACATACAAATGCATGTCCCATCTTTTCCCCAGGAAGGGACAACTAACTTAATAACGTGGGAACATGTAGGTACCGTTCTCCGTGAGGCTCGGCGAAGGGGTGATCGCCTCTCCCCCCGAACTCTACCCACTTGGGCCTCAGTCCGCTCTGCTCTCCAATTCTCTCAGTCAGTTCAGGAAACCTCGGCTACCCCTCCCCCCACCAACCCTTCTGTCCATGTTTCCCCTTGTTCGGCTTCTTCTCCAGTTTGCTTTCATCTCACTGCAGCTTCTGCTCCACCACCACAGCATGCTGAGGAGGACCCTAACTCTCTAGCCCCTCAGCCATCTTGCAAAGGTCCAGCTGCCCCCCTTGTGAAGCCCTCTTCTGGGGCCACTCCCTATCGCCATACCCTGCAAAAGGCTGTGACATCAGGCAAGGCAGTGGGAGACCCTTTGTGCTGTCCTGTCTCAGTTTTGCCTGATCCTGACAGCTCAGAGGTGGACATGTATGTTCATGCCTCATTTGATTTTAACATCCTAAAGGACCTCAGGCAGAGCGTGCTAACTAATGGCATCCAAAGCCCCTATACAATGGGCTTCTTGGACAATGTACTCCAGACTTATTCTCTGGTTCCTCATGACATTTTTCACCTTGTGAAAATGTGCCTATCTCCAGTTCAGTATCTCCACTTTGAGGTGGAACTGCGTTCTTTAATCAGGGAACAGGCTCATAGGAATGCTCAGGGAGATGCTCAGTCGAGAGAAGTTACTATTGACATGTTATTGGGTACAGGTGACTTTTCGGATTTAAGCAGGTAGGCCTGTTGTCCAGCGTTACTCTTCCGCCAGCTAGAGGATCTCCTGCGGAGGGCTTGGGCTTCTGTGCCAGTTGAGGGTGCGCCGACAAAATCTTTTACTCAAATCATGCAAGGGCCGGTGGAGACTTACACAGAATTTGTAGCAAGATTACAACAAACTGTTAGGAGACAGATTTCTAATTCCCAGGCAGCAGACATCCTGATCTTACAGCTAGCCTATGAAAATGCTAATATGGATTGCAAACAGGCAATAAATCCTGTTCGCTCCTCTAAAGATCTTGGAGCGTATATTAAGGCATGCCAGAATATTGGGTCTCCTTTATACAACTCGGCTCTGATGGCTCAAGCCATCTCCCAACATTTACGCGGTACACACAGTGATTTAAAATGTTTTAACTGTGGAAAATTGGGGCATCTCAGAAAAAACTGCAAAATGAAAGGGGCTTTACAAGCTGACCCAGAGCCACTAGGTCAGACATCCAGAGAAAATAAGTTACCACCTGGCCTTTGCCCTCACTGTCGAAAAGGCATTTGCTGGGCTAAAGCCCGCCACTCCAAATATGATAAGGATGGCACACTGCTGCAAGGAAAATGGAAATTGGGCTCAGGAAACTATAGGAGATCAGGACCAGGAGGCTCCAGTCCCCCTGAATCAGCAGTACCCGGTTCAGACCCGTGCACAAGCACAAAATCAGACAGCATGGGTGTCTGGAGGGACATTTCTTCCCTCGTCAGGGGAACACTGGGGAGCTCAGGAATACATCTTCCTGCTGTTCAGAGAGTTCACCTGCTGGGAGGTGAGACTCCGGTATCTGTTCCCACAGGAATTCATGGGCTCCCCCCAACCCCCACCCCCTGGAACCATTGGCTTGATACTTGGAAAATTCTCTCTAACTTTGAAAGGCATTACTGTTATTCCAGCTATTGTTGATTCTGATTGTACCTCTGAATTACATATTCCTGTTAGTTCCACAGGACTCTGGGTAATAGAACAAGGAGATTATATTGCACAATTGTTGCTCTTGCCTAAACCACAATTAAATAATGTTAGCCTTAAAAAATTCCCAAGAGGATCCTCAGCCAGAAATTCCTCAAGAAGAGATTTATTTCACCCAAGAGATTTCCAAAAACTGCCCCATGTGCAAAATAAGTTGAATGGCAAATTCTTTACAGGACTGATAGACACGGGCACTGACAGGTCTGTGATTGGCACGTGTTTTTGGCCATCATCTTGGGGGGGAAAAAACCAACTAAAACATCGCTGGTAGGCCTTGGCGCCCCCCAACAAGTTTTGCAAAGCTCCATTCCCCTGCCTTATGAAGGGCCTGGTGGTCAATTGGGACATATTTGTCCTTACATAGCTCCCATACCTGTAAACTTATGGGGCAGAGATTTGTTGGAAGAATGGAGAGTCGTAGTGACTACTTTGCCCTCTGAAACTTCACTGGGCCAACAGATGATGTCTAAAGTGGGATATGAACTGGGAAAAGGATTAGGCAAGCAACTTCAGGGAACAACACAGCCTATAGAACAGAAACAAAAAAATAATCGCTTTGGAATTGGATATGATCAAAAATTTTTAGTTGGGGCTATTGAAGAAGTTTCTCTACCCAAGGCAGCCTTGCCTTTACAATGGAAATCAAATGATCCCATTTGGGTTAATCAATGGCCCCTACCACAGGAGAAACTAACCATTCTACAACAACTCATATTAGAGCAAGTTAACAAGGGGCATTTAGAACCATCTGTGAGCCCTTGGAACACACCTATCTTTGTTACTCCTAAAAGGTCAGGCAAATGGCATTTGCTTCAGGACTTACATGCAGTTAATACAAGCCTCATTCCAATGGGGGCACTGCAACCTGGCTTATAGCAAACCCAGTGGCAATCCCCCAGAAGTGGCCGCTTATAATTATAGATTTAAAAGACTGCTTCTTTAACATTCCTTTGTGGCCAAGTGACCGACCTCGATTTGCCTTTTCGGTACCTAGCACAAATTTTAAAGAACCCATGAAGTGCTTTCAGTGGACTGTGTTGCCTCAAGGAATGGCTAACAGCCCCACATTGTGTCAGCTTTTTGTAGCACAGGCTCTTCAAGCTACTCGTAAATTATTCCCTACTGTATATTTAACACATTATATGGATGACATACTAATCTCTGCAAATACACAACAGCTACTTTTACAGGCCTTTGCTGTTGCAAAGAAGGATTTAGTGCATTTTGGATTGTGCCTAGCACCTGAAAAAGTTCAGCTATCTGAGCCTTATATTTACCTGGGTACCTTGTTATCAGAACGATCGGTTAAGCCACAAAAGATACAATTTAGGACAGACAAATTAAAAACATTAAATGATTTTCAAAAATTATTAGGTGATATTAATTGGATTAGGCCTAAGATAGGGCTAGCAACTTTTCAATTGCAGAATTTGTACAAAATATTACAGGGAGATTCTGATCTTAATTCCCCTCGAAAATTAACTCTGGAGGCACAAAAGGAGTTACAATTAATAGAACAAAGCATACATAACCGTCAGGTTTTTCGTATCAACTCTAATTATCCAGTTTATTTGTTTGTGCTTAACACCCCCCCACTCACCTACAGGCTTAATAGGGCAATGGTATGAGAAACGGGTCTTTCCCATGGAGTGGTTGTTTTTATCTAACCAGTTAGTGAAATCTCTACAATTATATCTAGAACAAATTGCAAAAATAGTTTCCTTGGGACGTAATCATACCCGACAATTATTTGATGCTGACCCTCATTTCATCATTATCCCACTTGATAAGGATCAAATGCAGATGCTGCTACAGACTGCTTTATATTGGCAAGTAGCCTTTGCAGATTTCATTGGACACATAGATAATCATTACCCTAGTGATCCTCTGTTTCAGCTTTTTTCACGACATGAGTTTATTCTCCCCAAGACTACTCAATTTCAGCCATTGCAAGGTGCCTCAACCTGTTTCACTGATGGCTCCTCTAAGAGCCAAGCAGCAATTTGGAGCTCTTCCTTTAGTTATGTGTTCCCTACACCTGGTCTCTCTGCTCAATGGTCAGAGTTGCTAGCCATTTTATTTGTGATTGAAAACTTTCCCTCCCAACCTCTCAATATTTTATGTGATTCCTTTTATGCAATTTGTTTAACTCAAAAGATTTTTCCCTAGAATTATGTAGCATTGCTCCCAACAATCGTTTTCAATAGAATCATTGAAATATTTAAATTAATACATTTTACTTATAAAACTTAGTCAAGCTAAATGTTTCTTCTTGACAAGTAGGAAAAAATAAGATGGCTCTTATAATTGTGCTGAGCTGATCAACCATTTGAAGAATGTCAAATATAATACTTATTTTTAAATATCTCTCTTTTTATAGGTGAAAGAATAAAATTTATGTTACCCATGGCCATCTAAAACATGGGTAATGGCTATGTATGTAGCTTGGTAGTAGAGCACTTACCTAGCATGTTGTAGGCCTGGGTTCAATCCCTAGCACTGTAACATAACATAACACAAATTCTATAGATAGTTTGCTATAAAAAAAAAATCTAAAAGTTCTACTATTAATGCTACTATGTGGAGCATGAATTTGGACAAGGTAAACTTTCAGTTGTCAAAAGATGCAAGATATGAACATGCACATATTTAAAGAGAAGAAATAGTTATTTAAAAGACACACACCAGTAAAGTAGTAATAGTTTCTAGAAACATTAACTTTTCTAAAAAAAAAGAGAGAAATTTTTAAATGTAAAAATATTCTCAAAGCTTAAAAAATTAATAGAATAAGCTCTGTTCCAAGTGCCCCCCCCCAAAGCAGTATCACCATTTTAGGACTTACATAAATGTAAAGAAATAAAAAATTTCTAAAACATTTTTCTACTTTAAATCTGTTAAATCAGAAATTTTTCTTGTTGAAACTATTCAGAGAAAAAAACAAAAATAAATAAATAAAGCTTTTGACCATGGGTTTAATTAATGACATTAATTGCTAGGTTACATACTTAGAGGAAACATGACTGTTACACAACTTGAAAGTTT